GGCTTGTGGCAGGCACACGTTAGTGTTCAAAGTGATAGCCTCATTCTTGAGCACTTTAATGAGGTCCTTGTTAGAAAATTTGTCCAGTGCAACAGGTCTTTTGATTTCTTGACAACTGCTACCAGTCATGTTGATTGTGGATCCATGTAAAATAAAAATCACTGGCAAATTCAATCTTTTCATATAAAGCACTAATTTTAGTGCCTGGTCTATAAGACACTACCAATTCAGAGTAACCTCAAAACTGACTCCCATTGGATTTCCGAGGTTATAAACTACACAGGAGATTGCTCATCTTTGTCCTGCGGAGCCTGTGACAGATTACCTCACATGTCCTTTGGATTAACAAATTCCTCTCAAGCCACCAGACCTTCCTGTTGTTGTTATGTTGTTACGTACTGCCAGGTTGGGATTGACTCATAGCTAACCTTCCACTAGGTTTTCAGAGACAGTAAATCATACAGTAGGAGATTTCCCATCTTCCTTCTGTGGATTCAAACTGCATGTCTTTGATTTTCAGCTCCTTACCACTAAGCCATCAGAACTCCCTCAGCTATTATTAACAATTAGTATTGTCCTTTAGAAGAGAGAGAACACTTTCCACCAGCTTAAAGCCGGGAAGATTCTGGTTCATTAAAAAAAGGACTAGACCCATTCTGAAAGGAGACCTGGGGCTTGGCCCCCTCTGGTGATGACCACTGGGAAAGGTGAGGCTCCTGTGTCCACCCTGAGGCAGCTGCCCCACTCTACCCTGTGGTAGGAGCCTACTGGGGGAAGGAACAGAGGAAGCAGGGAAATAAGGGCAAAGGGCCTCCAATTTCAGGGGAGCTGAAGTACCTTCAGACAGAATGAGAAATGGACCAGACTTAAAGGCTAAAAGGGGTGTCAGAGTCTAGACCTGAAGATCAGACCCCTTTGGGGTCCTCCTCTTTCTTTGGTTTATCACCCTCAGAGTACATTTCAAGTGAGTTCTAAGGGACTCTTTTCCTCTTGGGGGCTAGGCAATGGTTTGGGCTTGTCTCAATGTGGTGCTTTGAGTAGTTCTAGTGAAGAGGAGGAATTCCACTAAGACAGTCCAGGTGTCCAGTACTGAGGATATCCCTGTGCCTAGGGGCCCAGTCTCCTGTCCTGGTCCTGATCTGTGTTCCCAGATCTGTCCTGAGTGCCCAGTAAAAGCAGATCCCACAGATCTAGCTGGACACCCACACTCTACCAGCTGGAAGGAAAGGTAGGTGACAAATTAAGTTCCTCAGGGGCTGATTCTCAGGGTGAAAATAATCCAGCAGTTTCAGCACTTGTTCTCCCTCTTACCTCCATTTGTCTCCCTTCTTCCCATACCACAGGTATCCGGTACTGCTGCCAGGATACTTTGTGAGACACAAGGAGAGCAGCCAACAGACTACATGTCCAGGGACTTCATTAGTCTTCCACTCCTCCAGGGCAGTCCATGGAATACTCAGGACCCTTCTCCAATACCCTAGTTCAAAGGCATCAATCCTGGCATCAGAAATTAGAAGATGGCACAGGATAGGACAGGGTTCAGAGCTGTTGTTCAGAGGGTTGCTATGAGCATCTAACAACAGCAGCATCCTCCAGGGCAGGAACCAGTGAATGTTAGTGGGCTGAATGAAGGAATGAAAGAACTGAGGAGACAGAATATACTAAGAAACTCATTACTATTGAGCTGATTTTGACTCAGAGTGATTATATATCTATATCTATATATATATATATACATACATATATACACACACACACACACATCTATCTATATCTATCTCTATATCATCTATCTATATATCTGTATATCTATATCTATCTAAATCTATATACCTCATAGGGCAGAACAGAACCACCCCATAGTTCCAAGGATATAACCTTTGAGTAGACTGCCTCATCTTTCTTTCTTAGGGCAACTATTGGGTTCAAACCAGCAACCTTTTGGTGAGCAACCCACTACTTGTCCCACTGGGGAGCTCTAGTGGCTTAGTGAGTAAGGAGTTGCACTGCCATCCCACAGGCCTGCAGTTCGAATCCACTAGCTGCTCTGAGGGATAAAGATAGGCAATTTCCTCCCCTGCAATTTATAGCCACTGAAAACCCACTAGATGCTTCCCTATGAGTCGGTTCTCACTCAAAGGCAATTATGGGAGTTAACCCACTGTGGTCAGCTCAGCTCACTGCTGTCAAGTTGGAACCTACTCATAACTGACCCTCCACGGGGGTTTCAGTGGCTGTAAGTCACCTCACAGGAGATGGCAGGTCTTTCAGTCATGGAGCTGCAAGTGGGTGCTCTCCACAGGCAGGAGCCCCCGCAGGTGGGTGCCCCCACTGATGGGTTGGAACCACCAGAAAGGTGGTGCCATTGGGTTAGCAGTGCCACCAGGGCACCACTGTTCTGGCTATGCCCAAACGTTCCTGAATACAACCTCGTCGCTCCTTGGTCTTCTTTAAGCTTCCTATGCACTCACTTCTCTGCTGCCACCTTCTCCATAAGCTAACTATCTTTCTCTCCATTTCTTTTCCCCATCACCTATTTGAGAAGACAGGCAGCCAGACATTGGCAGGACTGTGAGTTACTTACTTCTCCACCAATTTCCATGTTTATAAACCATTATAATATCTGTGGATCAAATGAGATGAGATAAACACCGTGGCAAGGCCAGATTTTCTGCCCGCTCTGAGATCTACACAGCTGACCCTCATGAAGAGGACAAATAACAGTTGTAGCTGTAGAGAGGTGGTTCCCAGGCAAGAAGGAAGCAGCTCAGGTGGGGTGAGGTGGGGTAAGGAGTTCCCGAGGGAGGTAAGTCAAGGGAAGGACTGGCTGGCAGAGGAAGTGAACCCAGGGTCAAGTGGTCTCCACTCAAAGGCAGCTTGACTCTTCAGGGATGGGCTGGATATATGCTCTGGTTTCTCTTTAGTCCTTATGGACATCCGAGGATCAAAGAGTCACTGAACTAGATGTTGGAATGAAGTTCCTCACATAGTTTTTCTTCATCAATCCACACGGCAATCTACATACAATAGGAATTCTTAGTCTTCAATACAGTGGAGAAAGCTGAGGCTCAGAGAGGTGGTCCAGTAGCTGGTAAAGAGTAGGACCAGGACCTAATCAGTCTGGGTGACTCCCCTCTTTGTCCTGAAAGGAGGAGATAGACTTGGCGCTGCTTAATTCTCTGCCTGCCTACTGTGTGCCAGAACTTCGGGCTAGGTGCTGGTTATGTCAAGTGAACAAAGCAGATGTAGTGTTAATGCCATATCATTTACAATCTCAATGGGGAAGACTGGCAAGGAGCTGGGAGAGAATGGTACATTCTGTTTGAGGCCATATCCCTAGAACCAAGGACATCCTGAGGAGGGACAGGGGACCTAGCCAGAGGATGAATGAAGGCCTCTTAGAATCAGTGTGACCTGGAGTGTCATGGTGAAGAACTACCTCCATTATAGAAAAGGGTTAACTTTCCTCTCCAAAGTCAGGCCAATAGTGAGGTTAGATATAGTTGCTTCTTGTAAGGGAAGCCTTCCTCACCAGCCTTACTCATCCCACTTAGCTCCACCTTCTCACCATGGTCACAGATCCCTAAGGAACAGAATTGATTCTTAGGAACTAACAGCAAAGAACAAGCTCAATCATGGCAGGTTCGGGCTTCTGTTGTCTGTACCATGGGAAGACCGGCATCTCTGGAAAGCAGTTGTGGAGCCCACCCTCTACTAGCCCAGTAATTTGTCCTGCCCTATCTTTTCCTGGGCCTATATCTGCAAGAAACTACCTCTTGATCAACACCCTTGTAGCTCTCAGTGCTAGGAATAACATAGCCTTGTTCAACACAAAGATCCCTTTTTCATTTGAAACGAAAATGCACTGAGAGCTTCCTTACTTAGGAAATATGCCTTCCTCGGGGGAGGAGCCAGTATCTCGTACTTCATGCCCTATCTCAAGGCATAAGCCATGTAGCTGTGCTTTGAGAATTCCTGTGGACCAGGAATTATTCCTAATGGAATCTACCCTTTGGAGGCATCCTAGAAGTCAAGCCTGGGATCAGTGTGGTCTATTAGAAGCCCCACATGCAATAAATAATGCCCCTCTGGGCTGGCCCAGGCAAGTGACATTTTGCTTAGGTGCTCAACTTGCAAACTACCTCTCTTCACCCATGGAGACGGGTATCTGGGAAATTGGGTCTTAGGAATTCAGAAGAGAGAATCACAGAGATGCTCACACGGTATACAAAGCAGCTTTATTAAAAATTCCACTATTAAGACAACAAAGCCTTCACAAGGGCTTGATCAAAAAGTACAAATTTTAAATAAATGTATCATAAAAGAGGCAGGCAGATGCACCAGCCAGTCACAACCTCTAGTGCTCTGGGGAGAGGAAGGTAAAGGCAGTTCCCAGAGCCCTGAAGAGCTGGGCACAGTGGTCTTTGGATGTCTGCAGGGTTGGTTTCTAGAGTGACCAGGCAAGCAACTTGCCTCAATTTTCTTTCTTTGGAAAAAAGAGAAAGAACCTGGCAAGTGCAGGAAGTCCTGGAGCAGAAAGGCAGAAAAGGCATTTATAAGGCACCAGTGCTGACTCCAAACCTGAGGAGCATGAATGAGATCAAGCTGCAGGGCTCCTGGCTCTGGTTGTGCTTCCGACTGGTGCTACCTCTGGGTTCTGTCACAGGTTAAATCAAGGTGGGGGCCCCATGGATTGCATAGCCTGGCAGCTCAAGGCCTGGAGTAAGACACCTGGATCAGAGAGGTGTGTTGCTCCATTGTCAAACTAGTGTTTGGCTCTGTCAAAGCAAGAATCATCACACCAATCCTCAAGGGAGTACCAGGTTTTCTGTCCAGTTCTGTCCACTGAGCCACTGTGGACACCCATCGTGGGCAAGGAACTTCTAAGAGCAGTCACCACTATCTAGAGAAGCCCTAAGCCTCAGAGCTAAGGTTTCTCAGCTTAAGAAACTGGCACTGTTAAAATTGGTCCCTAACAGTTGCTCAGCCTGTACCAATGATCACTGGTGACAAGCCTCCTGGGTGACATTAGGCAGTGGGTAGGCAAAGAGGGAGAAGTCCAGGATGTACTTGGGCAGCACATCCTGCAGCAGAGCCCGAGGGGTACTGCAGAGGTGGTAATGCAGGCTTTCAGGGCTGGCAGGACGATACCAGGCTTGGCGAGTGGGGAAACGAACATGGGATGGTGCCCGCACCCATTCCAGCACTTGGTTGGCGTCAGCCTCCAGCCTCTCATAGGAGCCCACAAAATCATAATGTACAGCACAAGGCTGGCACAGGTGGTACACAGGCATCCAGTGCTCGTTCATGCGCTCAGGGTCCTCATCCACTAAGTATCGCAGGAATTCTGGGAAAGTGACATCGTCTCCTGCAGGGCTAGGACCAGCACTGGCCCGGTACCGCTTCACAATCTCAGCCCCATAGCGCTGCTGGTACTCTCTGATCTCACCAAACTTGTTGCGGTAAGCAGAGAGAAGGCGTTCCAGAGGGTCCCGTACAAACAGGAACTTGAAGTAGTGCTGAAGGCGGTAGCGAATTTCCTCTGGCCTTAGGTCAGCCAGGAACACCAGATCATTGCGGTGGTCCATCTTGAGGCGGACATCCACGCTGTCCAGGACACCCGCCAGCACCTTCAGCACCCGCTTCCAGTTGGAGCAAGCCACCTTGGGGACGTAGCAGTAGAGGAAGCGGTAGCGGTCACTGACAAGGATGTGGCGCAGCAGGGTGCGCCGCTGCCCCACAGGCAGGTCCCAGGGGTCCCGGGGCATGCCCGGCTGTCCGCACACAGCCCGCAAGGTCCGGTTCCGGACATCCTGCCGCACCTGCAAATCCGAGTCCCCAATGTCCATGGTCAGCCCCCCAGGAGCAGGAGCTGCCCCGCGCCAGGCCGCGGCCTCACGACTGGGAGGGTGCAGAGGAAGGGGCTTCATCTCAGCCAGGATACCCCGCTCGATCATGAGCAGAAGCCCGCTGGAGGCCACGATCACTGCGAACATCAGCATGGACGGCAGGAGAAGCGGCGGCCCCCCGATCCCGGCCCGGGCCCTGCCTAGCGGCGCCCGCCTCAGCGCCCGGCCCAGGGGCTCGGCGCCATTTGGGGCCGCCAGCGGGGTCAGCGGGCGGGGGAACATGGTGCTCCGGGGGGTCTGAGCGGCCCAGCTGGTGCGAGGGGCGGGATCGGCCGGGACGTGAGCAGGGGTCCCGACCGCAGGGTGCGGAGCGAGCCGGGGCACGGAGGGCTGGCAGGGGCCCCGGCGCACGCGAGGGTGGCCAGCTCTGGGCTGCAGCCACAGAGCAGGCGGCGGCGGGAGCAGCGAGGGACCAGGGCCGGATGTCCCGCCCGACCGCTCCCCGCCCCCGGCCCCTGCCGTGACACAGGCACGGGGGCGGGCCCAGCCGGGGGCGGGGAGAGGGGCGGGTGCCCCTGCGGGAGAGGGTGCCTGCAGGGAGCAGGGTTGTGTTCCCCCAGCTTCAGAAACAAAAGCTGCCCAGATCCCAAAGGTTGGCGAGGCCCCAGGCCGTGCGGCTCCTTCTCTCCCACAACTCGTAGCTTCCAGAAGGACAGCACAGGCACCCGCCACGCGCTCAGGCCAGGCCCAGCCCATCCTCCAAGAGTGGGTCTACAAACCGGGGGGCCAGTCCTGCGCTGCGAGCCCAGACATGCTGAAGACCAGTGTTTCTGGCTAGAAAACCGTGCTCCTCTTTAACCCCTTTCATTCCCTCAGCCTTGTAGCACTGACAACTCCAGGAATAGGTCCTCTTTGACAATAGCCAAGGGAACAAAATTGTGACCAGTGGCTCATCTCCATGGTGACTCTTGGGATTAGCTATCTGGCAAACTATAGTGCTTATCAAATGAGCAACACTGGACCATCTAGAAAAGGAATCTCTCCCCTTCTGCCTTTCTTCCCCTAAGGCTGAGGTGCTATGCTAACTGGGCCACAGGACTGGTGAGGTCTGCACACAGGAGGGTGCAGGAGCTGAAGGCATAGGGCAGGCATCACAGGAAAGAGCTAGTGACTTCCCTGGCACCTAGCCGGCCAATGTGGCTCAGATAGGTATGGGAGCACTGTTGATATCAGTCACGTGTTTAGCGATCTGTACTGGTCATGAAGCAAAGTATCAGACTTCAGGCTGTATGCATGCTGCTTCAGGGCCAGTGTGCATCAGTAATGACTGGATAGGAACCCCCCTTTACCAAGGCAGGCAGTTGTTCTGTGTTTTGTGCACATGACTTGTGGTTGTCAGAGCTGCCTGGGAGTTAGGTACTATGGACATCCAATGAGTAAGCCTGACTCTAAAATATAAATGCCTAATCATGATCCTTCAGAAATTAATGAAGCACCAAAGTGAACGAGATGGGAGAAGCAGTTGATTCCTGGCAAACTACTGAAATGATGAACAGCAGATACTACAGGATTTGTTTAGTGGTGAAACAGGGCAGCAAAGAGATGAATTCAAAAAGAATAGTTCTGAGGGGTGAAAAATAAGGATAGAGGGTTTGTGAATGACCATAAAAGTCCTACTAATATGAGAGCACATAGGATTGGGAGGAACAAGGGGAGCCTCCCTACATCCCACTGTCTAAATGCTGGGGTGCACAAAGTAACCATAGGCACACAATAGCCCATGCATGGCTTTAGAAGTGTGCATTAAGATTTAGCCTTCACTGCACCCTTTGTTTCCAATACCGGTAACTAAAGATACTTGATTTGGTGGTGGAATTACTTTTAATGTAAGTAAATTATTTTAACAGTAAGCAGGTCTTTACATTGAGTCTTTGAGTGATGCAAACAGTTAAACACTCAACTAACACCAACTAGTTCTAAGCCACCTGAAGGTTCTTGCCAGATGACTTGCTTGTGAAAGGCCATAACCTTGAAAGCTCTAATGAGCAGCTCTACCTTACACACACAGGGTTACCATGAATTTGTACTGTCTCGATGGCAACTAAGAACACATTTATATTAAAAAAGGCAAGAAGCCTTTTCAAAGATTCTGGTAATTTGGTCTTACGTGCTCATTTCTGTTAAGAGGACTGTTTTATGTTAACAAAGTCCACTTAAAATCAGGAATAGTCACTTACTCTGGAAGACTTTTTGGGAAAGGTACTTATCTCCCCACCAGTTTCCTGTCTGTAAAATGAGGCTAGGATCCCACCCATCTCCTGGGATACTTATGGACAATACAGCAATGTAGCTGCACAAGAGCATATCCACTCATGTGTCTGTGCCACTTACAGCCTCTACAGAACTGGCTGGCACCTGCTCCCACAACCAGATGTCCTTACTAAAATGTCCAAGAGAGTTGGTGGCTGGTGTTCTACCTTCTAGAAGTCTCGTGGCATTAATGGTCCACCTTCACCTTCAGCACAGTTACAGAGAACTGGGGCTGGGGCTGGGACTGAGGCAGGTACCCAGAGTCAAACCCATGTGACTTGGCCTTCATTCCTTCAGCAAAAAAGGAGAGCTGGTTATACAATATGGACGTTCTAGAGCAATTTCTGCTGACAATTCCCTAAAGCAATGACCAAAGGTGACAGGGTGACATCTTTACCAAGCATCTACTCAGGGACCAGTTTCCAGATCCCTCACGAGGTATAGGTGGAAATCTAAAAGTTTTACAACCAGTAGTGAATTTCCTGTCCCATCCCTCTTCTCCTTTTCTAGCTTCCTGTTGCTTATTGCTATGTGAGGCTTTGTGTTGCAAGGGTTAAATGAGACGACCCCCCCAATAAAATAAAAATCAGTCCCTCTACACAGCCCACACCAAAGAAGACAGGACACACAGGAAATGATCCTTTTCTAAATCAATACAATTTCTCAAATTTATTTTTTTTTTCTCTTAAAGAAGTACTTCTAATCTCTGTCAAAAGGAAGGTGAGGAAAGGTCCTTCTTCCCTTGTAAACACTGAAATACAGATCTGGGGAACCAGGGTCGACACACACAAAAAGTGCATTTTACAAAATATCAACTAAAATATATTTTACATGGATTATGCTTCCATTGATATGCTACCAGCTGCATTTTCAGGTTTGAAAAAAATATTTCCACATTTAAGAGATTTCAAAAGCATTTACCTTCTGGGCAGCAGACTCTACCTCCTGGGAGGGGCAACACATTATGCCTCCTTGGAGGGGCCTGGATGTCCTCTCCTGATGGGACAGGCCAGGTACCTTGGCTTCAAGGGCTGGCACCATAGGAATGAACAGGTCCAAGGATGGCTCTCCAGAGCCCCCAGTGTCACTCTGCCAATCTCTCTTATGGCCCCAGCTCCTAAACTAACATCTTCCACCAAACAGCTTACTCAATTTATAGGGATCCAACTTCCTTCCCTTCAGGTTTGGGATTGGTTTTCCCAAGCTTAATCACCACTGAAGCCTCCAGGCCTCATCCAAAAACCCAATGGACCAATCAATGAAGGGCAGCCTGTCTTCTGGACAGTATGAGACTTAGGTGTGCTTGGGAGACCCTTAAGGATCCACTTCCACCTCCTCCTCCAGCTCCTGACCAAGATCTGTCCTTATCCAGTGCTGCTCTGTGCTCGTGCCCCCAAGGGTGTGCTCCTAGGGAAGTGTTCAGCTAGCAGGTTGCCAATGGCCAGGCCCAAGTCATACTGTACTGCCTCCCTCTCCCAATCATGCTCCTCTTTGGTACAAATAGGAAATAACTAGGCCATCCTGGCCCCTTCATAGGTAGCCCCAGGCAAGGATGACAGGGGGCTGAGACGCCTAATCTATTCTGGGGAGCAGTATAGGGTGAGAATAGGGCCCCAAGAAAACAAGAACAATCTGAAAAGCTCCTAGAGTGAATGGATGCAGCTCAGCAGGTCTGTGGACTGATACAGTGTTGATTCTTGTTGGGATGTAAATTAGTGCAATCTACAAAAGACTAGGGTATGGGGTGGCAGGGCAAAGGGAGCCACAACACTCCTTTGGTTTGATTTCAGGTGGGTGTGGCTTGAAGAATCATGTGTGAAGTTCTGCAAGAGGTTTCCTAGAACCTCAAAAGTGTAAGGCAAGAGGAAAAGTCTTCAACAAATCAGGTAGCAATTTTCCTTGCCCCCTGCCCCCATCCCCTCCCAGCACCCATCTGAATTCCCCTGACACAACAGACCTCCTGTTAATCAGGTTAACTTCTGGGAAACTAGACTTGCTGGGTGGCCATTCCCAGGAGGTCGGCAGAGGCCAACACCAACTGTGGTGGCCTGGTCAACTTATCCCAGCACCAGGGGCTGCTGCAGGGGAGAGGAAAGAAAGCCAGGGAGACGTCCAAGCCCAGGAAGAAGAAATCAATGTTCTGGAAGCCAGACTCTTGGCTCTCTATGCCTCAAAGGAAAAAGCTCAGAGCTGTGTTAAGAGTCTGGGAGGGCCTGGCACCAGGCTGAAGGGGAAGTAGTGGGTCACAGTGGGTGAGGTAAAGCTGGCTCCCACTCCCCCCTTGGAGGGACCTGCTGGGAGGCCACAGAAGGGCCTGCTGGGCCTGATTCCTGAAGGACCTTGCCTCTACCACTTCCCCAGACCCCTCCCTCTCTGGCTTGGCTCAGTCTCAGAGAAGACTGCTTCTTCAGGGATCTCCATCCAGGAGACCAGAGAGGTACTACAGACCAAGCAGAAAGCCCTGATGCTGTTACACCCTGGCCACCCCTCCCCTCCCCATGGGCCCAAAACCTGGAGGGGCCCCGGTTCTCCCCATTCTCAAGAGAACCACAGGCCAGCAAACTCAGACCCCTGTGGCCCCTTAACCAAGTGCTGTGCTTCAATCAGTGCCCCTGCCCTGAGCCCTACTTGCCCGTGGGAAACCCCAGCCTGGGTATGAGGTGGCTACTGGGGGTTCTTGAGGATGCGGCCATGACGGAAGTCATAGACATGGCGGCAAAGAAACACCAGCTCAGGGTCCGTGTCTTCCGGCACTGTGCGGTGTGGTGGGGTAGAGTAGTCCGCAGAGGGGGGCACCAGTGCTGTCTTTCTGCTGGGGAGTCCCTCTCCTCGGCGCTTGGCCATGGCACAGAATCTGTAGCAACACAACATTTGCTGTCTTTCCCACAGTCACCTTTCATAGGAAGATCAATCCCTTACCCACTCTGCCCAGAGACCTGGGACAACCTCTTTTGCCCAATGTTCCTGTCCTGGGGACTGTGTACACTCTGAAAACTGCCATTCCACCTTCTCTACAGAAAAGACGAAAGCTACACTTGCCTGGGGTCCCTCTAAATCACCTGTCATCATCTCCAAAAACAGTACTATAAACACCCCACCAACTCTGTCGGCAAACTATAAAGAAGTTGGGGGGGGGGGGAGTGTGAGGTCCAAAAGGTGCCAAAGCAGAGTGACACGACCTCTTGGGGATTCCAGGCAGCCCCTACACAGCCCCAGGGATTCTGAACATACAGGCACTACCTACCTGCAGTACTCAGCAAAGGTCAGCACGTAGCACTTCTCCTCAATGCAGGCCACACTGTTCTGGTCCTGATGTCGAGATGCAAAGACTTCATTCTGCAAAGGCTCAAGGAGAGGACAGGAGAAGATGGGTTATGAAGGCTGGGAAGCATTTATATCCCAAGGGAGCAAGGCATATTAATTCCTGCAGTGAGACTTCTGAGATGACTCCAGAAAGCCAGGGGAATGCCTGGAAATTCAGAATAAGCACCCAAAGCCCTATGCTGCTTTTCCTAGGTCCTGCCCTGTCCTGTCCAGTCCCTCAACTGTCCCCACACTCTCAACCACCTAACCCAAGTACAGGGGAAGACAGGGAATGTGAAAGTGAGCCTGGGTGGGCACAAAGGGAGTACAACCCACTTGATAGTCCTCTCCCATCCCATAGCTAAGAGGAACGTCCAGATGGAGGAAAGGGAATATTTTTCTTCCTTTCTCTATACTACAAGCAGTGTCAAAGCTCTATTTCCCGTTTCCTGCAGCCAGGGGGATAGATCTCACTTCCATTCTGGCACTTCCTGTCCTTTAAAATGAATTCAGATTGTGCTGGGGCAACCTGAGGCACATGGAAAAGGGGCTAAAACTCCAAGTCCTCAACAGGTTTGTGTTCTCTGCAATCCAAGCAACATGCTCAAGGACTTAAATGTGCATAGCTGCCTGAAGGGCCTTGTCCCAACTTCCTGGGACCACTCCCTGATTCCCACTACCCTTTGCCATCCAGACCCTCCCAGCTCTATGTGCCAGGCAGCTCACCTCGTGCATGCTGGGACTTCGGCCTCCCTGCAAGTGCTCAGGTCTGTAATACCAAAGTAGGCTCATCATCAGCTCTCCTGGAGAAACAACAGAAATGGTCATGGCTTGAGCTGGCAACCTGAGTTACATAGATAGGCAGGCAGTCCGGTTGGCTGGTTGCCCTAGAGGCTGATCTAACCTCAATGCCGGGGCCAACCCAACTGGCTCCAGTTGCCCATGTCCCCTGCCCCAGGCTAAGCCTGGCATTCAGTGGCCTGGAATGTTGTTAGGCACAGAGAGAAGGGAGCGAACACTGACAGGTGAGGAAGGGGGACAGGTGCCAAGGCTCTGGTGGCTGGAAAGGATAAGGAGCTGATCAGCCCGAGCCACAAGGTTGTCAGCAGAAGAGAGACCCCAGCTGAATGGAAGACAGACTATGCCAGGAACTTAGGGAGCCTCATGCCAGGTCAAAGTCAGGCAGGGGTAGTTGAGTCCTTAAGAAGCCTGAGGGGGTGTGGGGGATAGGAGGATGGTACCTGATTCAGGATTTTCCCAGAGAGCAGATATCTTGGCCACATAAGGTGTAGACGTCTTTCGCGGGCCTGACTTGAGGAGGACAGTGTCCCGGACTCGGATCGTCTCTCCATGCCGTTCAACAGCCTGGTAGCTCTTTCGGATAGCTGGTTCTGGTTCATCCTGGGCAATGAGCCAAAGACACAAATAGGCTTGAGGGGCCACACTCTCAGTGAAGAGGGCTGGCAGGGTAGAGGAAAAGAATGACATCCTCTCTATGTTTTCCTCAGGCAATCAAACCAGTAAGGATAGGAAAGTACAGAAGCAGTTTGCATGTTGGACCTTTTTCTAAAACCCTGGCTTTCAAGCAAATACTAGGGTTAAGGAATGAGTTTGGTTGGAGAAAGGATGAAATGAAAATGATGGGAAAGCAATGTGAACTTCTGATGCCGAGTTCTGACCACCACAAGCAAACCACCAGCTCCTCTATGCTAGGCCCCAGCAATGGGAACTGCTAAGGCTCCTCAGTGGGAGTGGGACAGTCTGAGTTCGTAAACTACCATTACTTACTATACTATACTTACATTACTATACAACCTCAGTTTCCCCATCTGGAGAACGAGGATATTTTAAGAACCTGGGGAAGTGGTAGAGCTTAAAGGGGTTAATGTATAAAAAGTGCTGAGCTGTCTGATGCTTAGAAAGCTCTCATGAGGGTCCTTCATTGTACTGTCCAGGACGGATGGGAGAGTAAGCAGAGATGAGACGTGCAGGCTCTTCAGGTGGCTGCCCCCAGAGTCAATGAGACAGCAGCCAGCTGTGACTGATTATGTATGTACCCCAACTTCCCCAGCATAGGATTTCTAGGGGAGCAGAAGAGGCTTGATCAGCATTAGTAGTTCCTGAGGTACAACTGAGCTAGAGACCCTAGCTACCAGGCAGAATTGTCACCACTGTGCCTATACCCTTATAGCTAAGATATGGTACTCACCAAGACATAGACAGCCTTCTCACAAGCAGCACCAACAGGCACCCAGCCATTAGTGCGGCGACGGCGACGGCGGCGTGGACGGGGGCGCTGTACACGAGACTGCTTTGGGTGGCTGGGTCTGCGGGCAGCCTTGCTCCTCACAGTGTGCCTACAGCCAGAGCCCGTGCGCAGACCTGACTTGGAACCACTGGGAGGCTTTGCACTCTGAGGGCACGCGCGGGCAACTGTCTGAGGCTCTGAGGTGGGTGTCTGAAGATGGGGGACAGGTTCTGCTGCAGGTGGCACACTGGGCACAGGACACCCTGAGAGGGGGTGTGCTGGTGATGCTGGGTGGCCAGCTTCCAGGAGAGGAAATTCCAGCTGACCCAGGGACCTGCAGCCTTCTAGGAAAGAATAGAGTGGGTCATAGCAGATAAGGTCAAACAGTAACTCCTTATCTATCTATTTTCAGAGTTTGTTCTTGCCTTAATTCTAAGTGAACCTAAAGGTGGCACCTGAGGTGGCAGGCAGAGTCAGGGGTATTCCTTGATTTTAAAAAGATAGGTTCACAAATATCCCTATTGTCCTTCCAACACAAAAGAAAGACAAACAGTGGGAAGAGCTTAACTCTGACAGAATGTCTCTAAAGCCCGTCATAGTGCCACCTGGCATATATATTATTCCCAGCCCTACCTACTCTGGCTACTAGGGTGACTCTAACCAAGTTACTATAGTATACTACCCTCAGTGCCTGAAAATCTAAATAGTCGATGCAAACATCACAGTGTTTACTGTTGTTTTCTTAGCAATTTATTAACTCATTGTATCATTATAACTCTATGAGGCTGGTACCACCATAACAAGCAATACAGGTCACATGGCTAAGAAGCGAAAGAATGAAGATTTCACTCAAGGCAGTCTAATTCCAGAGTCTATGCTTGATCATATGCCACAACACCTCCCATAAGTAAAGCACTTAGAACAGTGCCTGGTATGGAGTGTTTGGTGCTGTTTTTATTATTGGAATGAGAGAGTACGGGTCTCGGGTCCCATGGGTTAGGTATCAAGAGCGGTGTAAAAAAGGGAAAAGCCCATTAAGAAGGCGGTTCTCATTTCTTAAAGCTCCAACTCATACCAGAACCTAAAACAACCAGTCTGTCAGAGCAAACTGGTCTATAAAACTGTTTTATAGACCCCTACAAGAAAAGGTGTGGGAGCATGAGAGAGCCCTAGAAAGGCCCAGCACCTTTAACACTCCAGCACTTGCTGGCCACTGTGGCCAGTGGCCCTGATCACCTTATTTCCACCCAGGAGTCAGGAGATAGCCTGACAGGGCAGAAGAGAATGCAGGGGTATGAGGCAACTGTGAGAATGTCTCAGCAGCTGGAACACAGGCCTCTCAGAGGTGTCTGGGCCTTGTTAGTAGACACCAAAGCTATGAACCCCTACCAAGGTGGTGGCCAAGTATGGGCACAATGCTTTCAAAGTCTTTCAGGCCAAAGTGAAGCTAGCCTTACTGTGGGTGAAAGAGCTCAGTGGGACCTAGTACCCAGCACACTACCTATAAATGCTGGACTTGGCCAGAATGCAGATGGTCTGGGAAGTAAGGAATTCTAGTTTTGCTAAAGGAGGGTGAAGAGAAAAACATGAGAACAACTTTGCAAAAAGCCCTAAGTTTAAAATCTAACTTTCTATTTGAGAAAGCTCTGGTAGCCTAGTGATGAGGAGGTGCACTGCCAATCCTAAGGCAGGTGGTTTGTATACACCAGCTGCTCTTCAGTAGAAGAATGGTTATCTCCTCCTGTATGATTTACAGCCTCAGAAAACCCACTGGAGGGTCACTGGAGAGTCAGTTTGATGGTACACAACAACTACCTGCTATTCAGTCAAAGGATGAACATCTCAACGTGGAGAGACGAGAGCCCCTAATATCACCAGGGTGACCTAACCAATAGGCAAGAAATCTCCAAAAATAGCCTGGACAAAGCAGTGCTAACAGAATGGGCTCTATTTCTTGAGAATACTTACTTTTAGGTTCAGGTACAGTGTAAGGGACTTCTTCCTCCCAGCTTCCCCTACTTCCCACACTAGTCCTCTCTGGCACATCCTACACCCCAGGAGGCTTACCTGCTGCAAAAGGCATTTTGTAGGGAAAGCCACCACAAGTAGTGCCAACGTGGGTGAGAGGCAGCGGCAACACTCCACAGAGGCTGTAGCCATTGGCTCCAGTGTCTTCGCTGGAGCAGTAACGAGGGGAACCCCAGGGAGGATGCTGGAAAAGGGTGCCTGCAGGCACTGAGCTTGGGGCCACGAGGAGCCCCTCATTATGTGCAGCCACTGGGGATAGCTTGCCCTCAGGCAGCATGGGGCAGGAGGTGTAGCCCCCACACTGCAGCCCATCTTGGCCACAGTATAGATAGAAGCTACCTAGTGCAGTGAGCTCAGGTCCACCACACAGGCCACTATAGTCGGCAGGGTTGCCGGGCATTGGCAGGGGTGATAACTGCGGTGCAGGGAATGAGGGTTGGTGCAGTTCCTGCTTAGGGGCAGGTGACTCCTCGCCTGGGCGCCCAGGATCTGGCTTCAGGGCTGCCTGCCCACCCATCAGCAGAGGCAAGTGAGAGCGCAGCCCCATGGGGCTCTCCAGGGCCTTGCTCAGAGGCTGACATAGTGGCTGGGTAGTTGGCTCATGAGGGGTAGCAGATGGCCATGGCCCCTCAGGGCATCCTTCCCAGCTAGGTGGGCCTGTAGCTTCCCCAGAGCCTGGTCCCTGACGGGCCTTCGGATAGTTTTTGCCATTTATCTTGGTCCACTTTGGTCGCAGGGCCCTAGGTGCTGGTGACTCAGTGGAGCACCCATCTGCTTCTGGATGTGCACGTGGTGGGCGCAAAGGTAGCTCCCGCTCTTGGCTCAACTTCAGGAAGGCAGCTGCATTCAAGCTGGCCAGTCTCTTAGGAGCTGGGTCACTATCCCGACGGGCACCTTCATCTGGTGCTGGCTCTGGAGACAGGTCTCGACTTCCTCCTCCAAAGTCCCCCAGCCGGGGCCGCTTCTTGGAGGAGGACCAGCCCCCAGTGGCCCGGTCACGGTCTCTACGGTTAGGGTCTCCCCCTCTGCTGCGGCGGCTATTTGCCAGGCTGCTCGTGTCTTCCCGCTCCAGAATTAGGTTATTCAGGGCCTCAGCATTGAGGGAGGCCAGCCGCCTCTTGCGAGGCTGGGTGAGGCCAGTGTCTTCACTGGACGGGACCAGGCTGGGGGCCTTGGGCAGGTCAGGGGGCAGCTCATCTGCCTCATCTGCACTCCGCGGACCAGCCACACTCTCTAAGCGGGTCAGCAGCACTTTACAGGCCTTGGGCTTCTCAGGAACCAGTGGGCGCTTACGCAGTGGATAGTTCTTGCGGCGCCCTGTGAGGTGTCCAGGGCTCTCTGGCATGCCTGGCTCCATGCCCTCCGCCCCTTGCTCGATACTGCTGCCTTCCATTGGCAGGGGCTCCCGGCGGCCAGTGGGGCCCGAACTCAGCATAGGAAGGGACTTCCTCCGAGTGTGTGTCATGGAGTACCTTCAACCTATAGGATAGAAATCAGCCAATGAATGGAGTTCTGGGATCCCTCAGAATGTTGTGCCTACTTTCTCCCCAACTGTAATCCCTCCAGTAGCTTGAACTATCAGGCCATCTTTCTAGCCTGGCATCTTCCTGGGCCCCTTTCAGAATGTAAAGGTACCATGGGCTCAGGCTACCAGCAGGTCTGGTTCCCCCATCAAACTTTTATCCTAGGGTCCTTCTCTGACTTTCACCAGCTTGGTTCCCTATTTCAAGTCAGAGAACTAGAAGTCAGGAGACGAAAGAAATGGGAGGCACAACTCTTCTCTCTATTCTCTTTTTCTTCCACTAGACAACTATCACAGGTCAAAAACAGGTTCTGAAGACGCCATGCCAGAATGAAGGTCTTGGGGGTCAAAGCCTTTCTTCGGCCAGAGGATCCTGAGACTGGCACAGGAGGATGAGAAGACGGAGAATGAGGCCTAAAATGGGTATCCTGCCTGCTGGGATATGAAGGAAACAATATCCATCTGCTGAGAAGCCCTGCCTAGTAGTCCTAATTTGGGTCTTGGGGGACAGGAGAAGAGGAAATGCTGATAAAATTGTCAGAGGCAGACTCAGCCAGCCCTGGGAGTCAGATCCACCAGAGTTCTGATTCTAGGTAAGACTAGCCCAAGCAGTGTCAATGTCTGGGAATGAGTAGCAGGTAGGCTGGGACCACAAGACCCAGGAGACTTTCCTCGACCTGCAGTAGTTTTAAACTTCCATCAACCACAAAGAGCTGAGACAAGAAAAAATCAAAGAGAAGAACTAAAGCAGAGCCATATGGGGTTGCCTTATTGTCCAGCCTGGCTCCTTTCTCTCTCCTGGTAGGAAGATGCTGGGCAGCAGAGGACAGGTGGGTAGAGTTGCAAGAAGCCCAAGCCCAGAGGCACAGACCGAAAATGCCCCAAAACAGCTATCATCCCCAACTTTTGCTCAGCTACATACCTCTCAGCATGTATCTGTGGCAACCTGAGCCAGGGTCCTAAAGGAGAGGCTAGCCAGGGACGGCAGTGCAGGAAAAGCTGACTCGGCCAAGTCAAGGAGGGACTGCAAGACAGTGCCAGGGGAATTCAGCGGTCGGACTATCTAGCTGTTTGTTCCTACATATCCCTCACCCAAAGCACAGGCTGAGGTCAAGGAAGGTGCCAGACACAACTCTGCCCCTCACCAGGCACCCTTGTAGCCCTCTCCCCACCCAGCAGGCTTGGCTTTTCAGCTGAATTTCCCCACTGCTATTGTTATTCACACTAGAGCAGGGAGCAATTCCTGCTGGGCCCGGATTTAACCCTGGAAGTCCCAAGACCAAAGGCTCTGGGATTCCTGAGCCCTTCTCAGCAGCTCTCTGGATTTGGTCCAGAGGCTAGGTTCACTGGGTACCTTCTCTCCTGGAACATGCTGCACTAGTTGAGAAAGTGTTCAGAAAACCAGGCTGAGGGCAGCGTGGGCGACCCTCACCCGAGAAAGGAAGGACTCGGAGAACTGGAAAGGGGAGAGAGTGTGCCAGATGCTGCTCTGGCCACGTGCGTGCAGGGACCTGCCACTGCCTAGAGATCTGGCCCCAGGCAAGACAGAGTCACAGGAGATACATCCATTCATTCCTGAAGGGCATAAGGAAAGCTCCTAAAAAAAATCCCAGACATTCTAAGTAGGCTTCCTAAGACCCTTGCTGTTTCAAACTCCTGTTTGTTCAGTGAGTAATGCCTCCACTCACTCTCAAAAGCATCACAGAGTTGGAGGTAGAGGAGCTGGCAACAAGAGAAACAGAAATACATCTGGTTTTTTCTAAGAAGGTCCTGATGTTCCCCACCCCCAAAAGACCTAGGATGGGAGACCACAAAGCTGAGCTGGGGCTAATGCCCCTCAAACAGGCCCCACGTTACCAGAGGAGCAAGGCCTGGGAATGGCTGGGGGCCAAGGCTGAGGTCACCTGGACTTGTGGCCTTTAAGACTAGGACACAATGTGCAGAGAGCAAGGAGGGGGCCAAAAGGAAGGAGAAAGCATGCATAAGGAGGTGACAGCAGGTCTGACTGGTGGAAAAGTCCTAAGCAGGAGGGGGTCCTAGGAGCCTTTCTTTCTCAACACATAAGATCCCAACAAGGAAGAGGTCAGGAGGAAGCCAGCACCTGGGGTCCTCACCTTCCAGTGTCAGAACTCTGTCCCTACCATCTGAAAACGGTTCCTGAAGTTTCTGCTCTTTAATTTCTTCTCCAGCCAGCTAGTCCCTAAGGATGCACATGGGACACCCTCTGAATCACAGGGTGCCAGTCACACCTCTGAATTAAGCTTAAGAGCCTCTTACTAGCTTCCATTGAATCTGCCAAATACCCAGTCACCTGCTTAAAAACCCAGGGCCAGCAAAAGCACACTGCAAAACAACTTTCATGTGGTGCCTAGGGAAGCGATGTCGGTCACTGCAGTCCTTGAGGGAGGCTGGGGTCTCTGCTGCCTGCCTCACTGTGCTCACAATCTAAGGAGTCTGGTTGTGAGTCATACTTTCAAGGCATAAGTGTGAGAACTTCAGTGGCAGCTTTTCCCTGGGGTGAGGCTTACAGGAGGGGGCTCCCAGCATGCCAGGGCCCCTCCACCCACAGGGGTGGCTCAGTCAGGTATGGGAAGAAGATCCTAGGAAAGCTTTCCTCCTGATCTTCTCATTTACACAAGAGCTGAAACAGGAACTTTCTACCACTGCCAAGAGACATGGCATATCTGGGTTCCCACAGCACTGTCCTCCTTCTCTCTGGGAAGCCTTGTCCTTTCAGGCACAAGCAGTCCAGGCCTCCTCCAGAGAAGAACCTAGGAGGAACTCCACAGGGCACACTATGAGTCAAGCACAGTCTCAATGGAGAAAACCAGTCTCCAGCTCTAAACAGCAATCAACCAACTGCCTTGAAGCTGGTGGACCTTTAGGCCAAAGACCCACTGAACCAAAAGTTAGGTCCAAAGTATCCATCCATCCACCAAACCCACTGCCACTGAGTCAGTTCCAACATAAAAAAGGCCATCTCAAAAACCAAAAGGACAAGAAGTAAAGAAATTGGATAATTTTTTTAAAAGCCATTTCAGATGCTATGTACATGGGGTCTGGAGTGCAGTGAGGACAAGACGACAAAGACCAAGCTCAGTGTCATGGGGGTTCTGTTCTCAGTAACACCCCAAGTCCACTGAGCTCTGGGAGAAGTGATCTCCACTAGAACAGAAAGGAAGAAATGACCTGTCCCTTGTCTTTAAGTTCCCAAGAAACTCAGTATCTTCAGGCAAGGTCAGAAGATTAGAAAAGTACATGGCCTGAGAAGGCAGGTAAAAGTCTAGATAATTCGCACAGCAGCACATCATTCTTTCTTGGGGCAGAAGAGGCCCATAGCCTTGGCTCCTGCTTATTACCTAGTATGAGGCCAAACCATCCACATCCATACAGGGGGGCTTGAGGACTCAGGGCTCCGCTCACTGCTCTTTCAGAATTCAGGCTCACTCTGAATACTTTTAAGTTTTGCTTTTCAAGGTTCCTGGATTGTTTTTTAAGGTTAGGAGAGTATTTATTCACAGAGGTCTGAGGTAGCAACAAACCAAGTCGTCACCTGAGTGGAAGCCAGGAAGGGCCTTGCCCTAGCCAGCTCCCTCCAATTACAGCTAAAGCCACACAATAAGCACCAAGTAGAGCACAGAGCCCTTCTCTGCAATCTCTTTTGGCATAAAACCCTCTCAAAGGGAGTAATACTCTCTATGAACATAGTTTCTTTTTTTTCTTCTATAATTATATTTTATTAATTTTCATAAACATTTACAGAGATTT